AACCTGTTTGCACTGGCAGACTGATTGATTTGCCCTATTTTGAGACACTGGCCTTCTAAATGTAAGGACACATTGGAAAGGAGTCAATTTAAAATAACTGTCTTTCAAATGTTTTTTAAAAGGAAGTCTCCAAACCAGACTGACAGCAATGTTTCATGATAGCTGCTGGTGGATACTGGCTCAGCTTTAAGCATTCTGCTGCCTTTCTGTATTTTTCCCCACTTTAAGTTAAATTATTGTTGATCTTCGATTTGACCTCTACTCTTTGAGCTTTCCTATAGCTACAGAATGCATATTTGTCAGTATGGTGGCAGTAGTTGATACTTCACAGGTGGCTGCTTTTAGATGAATGCACACCCCTAGAGCAAAGCACTGTACCTTAGTCTTAAATTCAACATGTCTGAAATGTATTTTTTTCTCCTATTTAATGGAACTTTTTGTCTGCAGCACTGGACTTCCTAGAGCAAATTTTGACGTTTAGTCCCATGGATCGATTGACAGCAGAAGAAGCTTTGTCCCATCCTTACATGAGCATTTATTCCTTTCCAACGGATGAGCCTATTTCAAGTCATCCTTTTCACATTGAAGACGAGGTTGATGATATTCTGCTGATGGATGAAAGTCACAGCCATATTTACAATTGGGAAAGGTAAATTTATCACTTGCTTTGGCATGTAAAATGACTGAATGGCTGTGTGCTTGAAGTGTAGCTTGGCCTCATTTCCTTTTCTGTTTGTTTCTTCTTCATGAAGTTTTCCCTTACAGGCAGTGCACTGTCAGTGGGTTTGTAATTCACTAGACTGACTTGCATAAGCTGATGCATTCAGGACTCCAGGTTCTAAAGTTAATGACTCCATTATGTTTTCCCCCAATAACTATTTCTCTAAAAAATAAACTTTACGTGGATTGAGTTTTAAGTATGGATTGTCTTGTCCAATGCTTAGGATGCATAACAGTAAAGAGAATTGCAGTAGTCATTTAAAGTCAGTTAAACACACACCAAGGAAGTGTTCTGTAAATGGAGTGAGCTACTGTACATAACTCTGGACTTTAAAGTTTCAGATGTGCTTATGGGGTTTGCTTTATGCCAGCTTAAATTTAAAACCTGGAAAAGGTGCCTGGTTGGATTGAGAGAGAACATTTATCTGTGTTGATTTGTCTGTAAGGGAATTTTGAAACTTAATTATCTCTGTCTTGGGAGCTAGAAAACGTTCTTGGCTGCTAACGCCTAGGAAATTGTTTTACAGATACCATGACAGTCAGTTTTCAGACCATGACTGGCCTATTCATAATAACTACGAAGCTGATGAAGTTCAGCGTGACCCAAGGGCTCTCTCTGATGTTACTGATGAGGAAGAAGTGCAAGTAGATCCTCGCAAATACTTGGATGGAGATCGTGAAAAGTATCTGGAGGATCCTGCCTTTGATACCCACTTCTCTACTGAGCCTTGCTGGCAGTACTCAGATCACCATGAGAACAAGTATTGTGATCTGGAATGTAGTCACACTTGCAATTACAAAATGAGGTCGTCTTCATACCTTGATAATTTAGTTTGGCGAGACAGTGAAGTCAACCATTACTATGAGCCCAAGCTTATTATAGATCTTTCAAACTGGAAGGAACAGAGCAAAGAAAAGTCTGATAAGAAAGGCAAGTCTAAATGTGAAAAGAATGGGTTGGTGAAAGCTCAGATAGCACTTGAGGAAGCATCACAGCAACTTGTTGAAAAAGAAAGGGAGAAGAATCAAGGATTTGACTTTGATTCATTTATAGCGGAAACCATTCAGCTTAGTTTACAACACGAGTCTACTGATGTTGATAAATTAAATGACTTGAATAGCTCGGTGTCTCAAATAGAGTTGAAAGGAGTAATATCGAAGTCAGTAAGCAGAGAGAAGCAGGAGAAAGGAATGGCTAATCTGGCACAGTTAGAAGCTCTGTACCAAACTTCTTGGGACAGTCAGTTTGTAAGTGGTGGGGAGGAGTGCTTCCTCATAGACCAGTTCTGTTGTGAAGTCAGGAAGGATGAACAAGGTGAAAAAGAAAATACTTACACCAGTTACTTGGACAAATTTTTTAGTAAGAAAGAAGATGCTGAAATGCTAGAACCTGAGCCAGTAGAGGAGGGGAAGCTTGGGGAGAAAGAAAGAGAAGAGAGCTTTCTCACTAACAGTGGAGAGCTCCTCTTCAACAAGCAGCTGGAGGCCATAGGTATTCCTCAGTTTCACAGCCCCGTTGGTTCGCCACTGAAATCGATCCAGGCCACGTTAACGCCTTCTGCTATGAAGTCATCTCCCCAGATTCCCCACAAAACATACAGCAGCATTCTGAAACATCTAAATTAAAACACTCAGCAGACATTTCTTTTATATTCATGAGATGTGTTTGTCTTTTTTTATTACTAGTGTAAGTAATTTTTTTACTTGAATCAGACGGTGTAATCTTGGTATGGATTTTCATTCGTTTTCTGTTTACCATTGTTTTTACAATCCAGAATTACTTTCTCTACGTGAGTTAGTTTTGTTTTTAAACTGGCATGTCGTTTGCACACAAAATTAAAGAATAGAGCAAAATAATGCAAAATGCAGGAGGTAACAAAAAAAATGCACTAAACCAAGGAAAAGAAAAAACAAACATTCTCTCAGTAAAACAGTGTCCATGTTTTGCAGAAAAAGAACCTTGCCTTGAAATTTACACAGTGAGACTGTACATAATTGCATGAAAATATCTATTTTTCCCAAACCATTTTTTCATTCATGCGTATTTTAGAGTTTTTCATACTGTACACATTTCTTAGACACATGATACCAGCAGCAACTGAAATGAATGCAGAATTTGGTACGCATGTGTTATCTACCTCAAGGTAACAGCAGTATGTGGCAAAACATTAACCACCCATAGTGCTTCTCATTATGCACTTCTATTTAGCCAGCATTATTGTAGTAGCTATTCTTATGGAAAATCATTCAATATTTATAAATGTTCTGGTATGCATTCTTTATAGTGAAGTGTTAATATGCAGCACTTTTATTTATTTTAGCAAAATAAGTATATTTCTGTAATTATAGAAAGTCAACCGAATTTTTGAGTTACTTTTCAGATAAAAGTTTTTGTTTAGCACTATGGTTTTATTGCCTACATAGCTGGATATATATTAACATCAGCTTATTCTGAGGCTATCCAATACATTTTTTTTAATTTTTATTTTTTAGTTTTCATTTCAAGTAAAGCACTCACTGTGTATAGGAATTTGTAATTGGAGGTGCTTGATCTCTACGGAAGAAATTAGGAATTGCTTTATTATCAAATGCTCCTAGAAGTCTTAATTGTGTTCATTTTTAAAAAAAAAAATTGTAATGTTAGTTGTGTGCATGGAAATAATTAAGGTACAACATAACTGTAGGTTAAAGTTCTATATGGTGAGACATTTTGTTTTTACTGTATGTTTTTACTGAATTATTCCTGTCCCACTCTCAACCCCCCTCAAAAGCAAGCATGAATAAAATTAGGTTAAATATAGCATGTAGCATCTCAGTCTTCTGAAAATTTGTTTTACCTTCTGATTTTTTGAAATACTGGATGTATCATTGGCTCCCCTGTTAAAAACAAAAAAACAAATAAAAACATGGCCAGCAAAAATTACTTGTTTTTTGATGTTTTGTATAATGAAGGGTAGAGGTGCTGGTGTACTGCAGCTGGCTGTATTTGGAAGGCAGGCCTGCCTGCCTGCACTCCCTGTTCCAGGGTACTCAAGGAAGCAGGAGAAGTTCTCTTGCAGTCTGCCCTGGAAGTGCTGCTGCTGGGGATGCAGCCCTGGAAGGAGACTCCAGAAGGACAGTGCCTGCTGCCTGTGTGTGAGAAGGTCTGGTGTAATGGTATGGCTGTGAAAGCATCAGTGGATGGTAGTGTCAAGAGCCATTGTTGTTGACAATACAAGTGACTGGCAAAGTATAAGTGAGCATTACTGTTTTATCAGCTTTTTAACAGAATTGTGTTAAAATGGAAAAGCTGCTGCAAGTGTGTGTGGGCACCTTCATCTTCCTGGCAACCCGGAGCGAACGTAGTCATGCAGGTCCCTTGGCCAGGAGCCTTTCTGGAACACTTTCACAAGGAAACTTCAGGAGCAGGACCAGGTAATTCCCATGGGATGTTTCAGAATGTGTGGATCAGGTGTCTGTTACAGCGAGCCCTAAGAACAGGATGTATTTCTCTTCCCTTCCTCCCATCAGAGCCATTCCTCAGGGAGCTTATTAGCTGTACAATAAAGCTACATCCTTTGGCAAACTTCTGCACCTTTTTCCATTATGGTGTCTTAGTTCCTCCAAGTGTTTCCTTCCCTCCTCCCTGCTCCTCTGGCAGGTAGCACAGCTGCAACTTGCCCAAAACAAGGAGCTGCCCCTTCAACATGACAGAAAATGGGCACCTGGGGCAAGGAAAGAGGTTGTACATGCTTGGGCACAGTATGTGGATGTTTATGTAACCACCTCAGTTTCTATGTATGGGGCTGTAGGGAGGATGAAATTACCAGTTGTCCTCTCTCCTGGGCAAGAAGGGGTTGTGGAGTGGTCTGGTAGGTTTTTTCTGAGACTGGGTGGAAACAGTGGGTGGGAAGAGCTTAGAAACCAGAAACAAAATTGAGCTCAAAAACACATCTGTGCAAATGAAGTTCTGGGGGGAGTTGTTTTGGTTGTGTTTTGGATTGGGTTTTTTTTAAGAGCATTGGTGAAACTCAGCAGTACTTAAGCCTGTAATGGCAGAGAGGGAAAGTTTTACACTCCAAAAGGAATGGGTAGAGTCAAAGGGTGAGCCTAAATCCTGCGCTTCACTGCCTGTGACTTCTAGTCATGCTGGGGGAGCAACACTGGGCACTGCTGGCTGCTTTGGTTAAAACCCTGCTCTTGTAATGGACTCCAGCAACTAATTCCCATGTGGAGACAATTAAAGTAAAAGTGCTTTGTAAGTACCGTGTAAAGTGAAAGCTACTGTTAGAAAGTGAAGATACCGAGTGAGGTGTGTGTAGGGTGAGGAGTCCCGTGCTGGGAGAGCAGTCCAGCAGTGCAGGGTTTCATGGGCTGCTTCCTGCTGGTCAAAGATGGTTTCTGTCCCACACTCACCAGCCATGGCCATCCCTGCAAGAATAAAACAGGACAGTTACACATCTACCCCCTAGCCTGTGACCTAGCAACTTAGTTGTCTTTAACAACAAATTGTGGAAGAGGCTTAAGCTATAAACCAGATAAAGGGACCCCTGCTTCATGCCACAGTGCTTGCCAAATAAAATGGAGCACTGTTGTTTAACAAAAAAGCAAGTAAGAAGTGAGGATGCTAACCTTTTCAAAAAGCCTTTTATTCTCTGTCAGCTTTAGCTTAAAGGCAGCCTTTTAAAGTATATTTAATAAGAACTTGAGCTAGCAGAGTTTGCTTACCCTCACTGAGCAGACCAGGACAGAGTGAGTGTGTTACGTGTCCTGTCATCACATGAGATCCAATAATTGCAAACTGTCACAATGCTGAACACTTTGTTCTGATCAGGAGTTCTCAGTCATGGTCAGTTACTTTCACAATTATATTGAATTTTAATTAAGTAAGAGTTGCTATATATAAGCTCAGCTATTTATATAAGACTTTGCCCACATTGCTGGCAGTGCTATGATTATTGCACTACAAGTAGTGTGTCTTACCTAGTCCTTGCCTTAAGCACAGCTGGTCTGCTGGGGGCTGTAGGCTGGACATAAGGTTCTGCAAACCAGTTGGGAACTGGGGCAGCTGGGTAGCCTGTATGTGCAGCAATGCCTTGATTTGCTTTGTTTTCCTGTCATCTTGCTACTGCTTTGTCTGTGCTGTAGAGTTTTTAGAAGATGCCTTATAGGTACATTAAAAGCCTTGGCTGAATTATCATTTTGGTGTGACTTGTTGCCTGGAGGCGTTAGTTTACAGGCAGGTTTTTAATGCCTTTTTTTACAGGGAGGGCTTCCTCCTGGAGATTTTTTCTTCCATATGGAACTAATGTTGCTCTGGAGCTGTGTTTGCTATTTTTTTTCTGTCCCCTTCTAAACTCTGCAATAGTCAGAGCTGTCAATTTTTTCCTTGTGTGGACATTCCATCTACTCTACAGGCTTGTCCACTGCAAACCAGAATTGTAGTTAGCATCCTGAGGAATTCAGCAACACGCTCTGGTGCAGGTTATTTCTGGGTATCAATAGAGGGCAACAGAATCCTTGAGCTAAATTTGATCTCACATGTCTTCCCTTTATTTATACTCATGTTTCTTTTCTGTTGCTGAGATATGGAAGTGTTTGTCAAGCCTTCAGTTAGGTTTGACACGTGGTTAAACAGTAGATGGTCCTTGTTCTTCCAAAGGTGCAATCCTGAGCAACTGCCTCTCTGAACCAATTCAGTCCTTACAAAATCCTGCAAATTCTTGTTTGTTGTTCTGCCAGTCTTTCCGTCAGACTTGAGCTGAACAACCTGGGAAGTAATGCTCTGGGGTATTTAGTAACAAGCAAATAATCCAGATCACTGCTGGCACCCAGCACTCCTGGGCTTCCATTCCAGTGCCTCTATATTTAAAATGGTTATCTGCTTATTCCGAGTGCTATTTGAGAACTCCTTAAAATACTGACTGTTGAAAAGTTTAATGACTTCTTTTGACTGAGAATTAGCATTGCTGATAAGGTGATTTGCATGCACCAGCCCATGTGGAAGGAGCTCTGCCCCAGACCTGGTGACAGCAGGGGACTCTGCACATAGCGGTGTCAGTCGCTGGCAGCCACAGCTCCACGTCCTTGGCTTTCCTCTGGGATCTGCCTGTCACATCCCAGCTGCAAGGCAGCCCTTCTATAGTGAACTCTGAGAATAAAATGCCTTTGTCATCTACGTGCTGCTCTACTGCAGCCAAAATTACTTTTAACCTTAATGTCGCCCAGCCAGGATGTTACGTGTGGTGTGAAATAGCAAAGTGTGCTTTTGGCAGCCGGGTGCAGGAGAGGGGACTTGTGACTCCTCTGGCTCCAAAGCCAGCAGTGCCATTGCCTTTGGCAGCCCTCTCACCCTCCCCAGCTTTGGTTCCCTTGCTGATGAACCAGAGGTGCTGGTGGGACCACCCACAGCTGGGTGGCTGGGCTCCTGCCCTGGCTGGTGTGTCCCGGGTGCCCATGGGGGGTAGGGTCCCTTGCTGTCCCCTGAGCTGGAGAGCTGCTGGGGAAGAGCACAGCTGTACTGGAAGGACTTCTCTTGCCTTAGTGGGGAATTGGGTTAGTTACCCTTACTGTTAATATCAATTGGTGCTGCTAGGGTAGGGAGTCATTACTAAACTGGTGGTTGATGGCTTGTTGGGGTTTTTTTTCAGTTTTGGAGTATGTTTCCCAATTGGTATAAGGTTGGGACATTCTGTCCTAATTTGGTACAGCTCCACATTACTTGTGCCTTTGCTCACATCTTTTATTTTTCTAAATTTCTTGTAACTTCTTGTTTAGACTTATTATATTCTTCTAGCAGTCATGGCAGGTACAGCTCAAGGCCTGTGGGTGATCTCCTCCCTGCTTGGTTAAAGACCACTGGGCCCAATCTCAGAATAGGTGTGAGGCCTGACAAAACACAGGCTTTCCTTTAAATCTGAATTTTGCCATGTTCAAACCATACCCCAAGGCTCCAGTGGAGCAAAGGTACTGCTGGCTTGGAAGGCATGGAGGCTTCTTTGTCACGCTAATGCCACCTCAGCTGATGCAAGGTAAGTAGACTTTTTTTTTTGTCATCATCTCCACAGCATCTTCCCAAGAAAGTGTCTTCACAATGTAAGTGTAGCCAGGGTAGAGTTTCTGCTTTACATTATGACTGATCCTTTGACAGACTTCTGGTTTGTGGTGCAGGCTGCAGCTATGGATGCTCCAAACCCAGACTCTGACAGTAAGAGGACATTTACTTATTCTCATTCTTGAGAATGCCATTCAGACTGGATTAGAGTTGACATTCCCTGTGCTAGATACTGTGGAGAGACAATGTTTAAATTTAATGTCTTTCTTGAATTTTATAATTTTTAAAAATTTAAAGCCATAGATCTGAATACCTGAACAACAGATTTATTGTGACAACTGTGTTTAGATATAGATTTAAACATTACGGCTCTGAAATAGCTGGATAACCAGAAGATATATTTTTTAAAGCCTATAATTAAGAAAGCAGATGGGTTATTTTGTGCTATGTCTGCCTCCGATTCTTTTCTGCTAGTGCTAGAGTCTCTTAGCAAATTTGTTGTTGACACATACTGAAAGATTAAGTCAATTCTACACACTAAATTGTTTCACGGACCCTTACACATGCTATGTCACTGATTTTCCATGTTTAATTTTTATTTTTTCTTGCTTTATGCAGAGACCTTTGGCTGTTTGAGTCTTACTTTTACATCACCCCCAGCCCTACCAGTCTATGTAGCTATTGGAGTGCAGAGTAGACAGGAATGTCCTTTGGGTATTGCTGGCACTTACTCCATGTTTCTATTGATATTGCCAACTGCATCATCCAGAGATCCAGCATTGATTTCCAGAGCAACAAGGTACAAAACCTCCCTGTGACCTGTACAGGGTGAGGAGATTCAGATAGTCCAGGACAGAGGAAAGTCATGAATAAAACAAGCCCTGAGA